TGGCAAATGACCAGTGGCTTCAACTTGTTGTCACCAGCTGCATTAGTCCCTAACAAAGAGTCAGCCTGTCTTTTGAAGCTTTGAAGACAGGCATTGACTCTTCACTATCTATGAAAGTCCTAGTGGCATCTTCTTCACATAGAAGACAATTGAAAATGTCTTGAAAATCTGTTGTTGAGTGTAGCCCCCTTCATCAATTATCTTAGCTAGATCTATTGGATAACTTGCTGCCACTTTTACATCTGCAACTGCTGCTTCATGTGGCACTTTTATGCTATGGAGACAACTTTGTTTTTTAAAGCTCATGAACTAACCTCTGCAAGCTTCAAACTTTTCTTCTGTATTTTCCTCATGTTTCTCAACCTTCATATAATTAAAGAAAGTTAGGTCTTTGCTCTAGATTAGGCTTTGATTTAAGGAATTTTGTGGCTGGTTTGATCATCTATCCAGATAACTAAAACTTTCTCCATATAAGTAATAAGGCTCATTCTCTTTCTTTATCATTCATGTGTTCACTGGAGTATCACCTTTAATTTCCTTCAGAACTTTTTCTTTGCATTCACAACTCTGTTTTCAGCATGTCTTCCTCACTAAACTCAATCATTTCTAGCTTTTGATCTAAAGTGAGAGATGTACAACTCTTCCTTGCACTTGAAGAGTTAGAGGTCACTGTAAGGTTATTAGTAGGCCTAATTTTAATATTGTTATGTCTCATGGAATAGGAAGGCCCAAGGAGAGACAGAGTGGTGAGCTGGTTGGTGGAGCAGTCAGAACACACACACTATTTATCAATTATTTTACCTTCTTATATGGTGTGGTTGCCTCAAGACAATTACAATAGTAACATCAAGATCACTAATCACAAGTTACCACAACAGATATAATTATAAGAAAAAAGTCTTAAAGATTGCAAGAGTTATCAAAATGTGACACAGTGACTCTAAGTGGACTCATGCTGGTGGAAAAATTGTGCTGATAGACTTACTCAACACGGGGTGCCACAGATCCTCAATTTATTTAAAAAATGCAGTATCTGTGAAGTGCAATAAAGTGAAATACAGTAAAATATGATATGGCTGTATATATGTGCACACATGCACACACACACACATACATGTATGTCTCGGGTCATTTTCTTTAGATTACGACACTCAGTGAAATTCTAAATGTTGTATTTTTAACATTTATTTGTAATTTACCCACAAAATAACTTTTAAATTTTAATTTCTCCTTTATTTATTCTCTTCTATACTTCAGAAACTAAAATTATCTCTGTTTGATTTTCATTCGTCAGCCATATGTATTTCTTTAAAATTACTTTTATCTTTGTCAAAAAATTTCTTTCCATTCTCAGAAATTTTCATGTCAATAATTTGATTTTCAGATATGTCTACTCTAAAACTCGGTGTGTCTATTTAATTGTTCATTTATCATTTCTATTATTATTAATACTCTAATGAAGTAATGAATTTATTTGCTTATACATTTAATTGTGTATACTGTTTTTTCATGACATAATCCTAGCTTGTGTTTTTACCTTTGTAAAACTTCATCAAGTTTTGATGAAATATGAATCAAATTTCTTGATGTATGAATCATTTGCTGGAGAAAATGTCTTCTATTTCCTTAGGTATGCTTGCTTCCTGAATGTTTCTTTATTTTTTTTTTGTTGTTGTTGTTGTTATAATTTTTACACAATATAATCCTCTTATTCATCTTTTAACTTTCTTATGATATCTCTACCTTCTCTTAATCTAAATATATTATACCTAATTTTTTATGAAATCCCTGCCTACTATGCCAGAACTCAGTTTTTCTTTCACTTTAATGATATGGTTTGGTGGGGTGATATTGATTGTTTGGATCTTATTTACTGTTCTTCCTGTTTAGTTGCTCAAATCCTATGCCAGAAAATATGCCCATCATTCCCCTATTAATGCTTAATAACAATATTAATATTGAACACTGAAAATAGGTGAAGCTAGACACAATTGTTATATTCACTTTTATTATCACTCCCAGTGGGTATTCTAGATGCAAAGAACCACTGCAAAGTCTACAACACATGATTCACTGAGGAGGAGGCTTTTCTTATATCTTCTTCCCTGGAAGCAAGCTAAGCATTGAGCTCTTGTTCACCCACACACCCTAGAGAGAGTATAAGTTCATAAGAATCAAAAGATTTCTTTGGATAAAACACAAGAAATTTGATGTTTTCTGCTTAATATACTTACAATTTTATGATTTCATATATTCTTCCCCTTGTACTTTAATGTCTTCCTTACCCTACTATACCAGTAATTTGCAATGTCAAAGAAGAGGGGCCAATATCAGGAGACATCTGTAATTGTTCCATCTGAAAGGAACATGCTATTGGCCTCTGATGGGTTGAAGTCACTGACACTGCTAAACATCCTGTAATAAACAGGACAGCCCCCCACAACAAAGAATTATCTGCTTCAAAATATTAATAGTGCTGAGGTTCAGAAAATGTTTTAGATCAGGCTGTTTCTTTTGCTCTAAGTTTCCACTTGATCTTCTTTGTCTTGTATTTTATATACTCCTTGGTTGCTGTCTACCAGAAATTTTGTTATCAAATATTATGCCTAACATTATTCTTTTCTTGGTAATGGCTGGCAACTCTTGTCTTGAAGAACTCTTACTAATGTCAATAGTCACTTTCCCAATATAAGGAAGTAAGTGCAAAGAATATTTGAGATGTAAAATAGATTAACAGAATTATTTTAAGGCATTTTTATAATTCATATTCATTATAAGTTTTCATGGAAAACTAAAAGGATCACACAATGTAATTATCTATTTAACTAGCTAGGAACAATATTTATAGTTAACCCTAAGAATATTTAAGGCCAGTAGTAATTTACATTTTCTACTTTTATTATCACTCCCATGTATATTCCAGATGCAAGAGGTAAAATGAAAGGACAAAGCACGTATGTATTTAGCATTATTTATGAACTATTAATTTACTGGAAGTGTAAGGATATATAAACCTTACTACCCCCATCTCCAAGATTTCACAATAAACTGGGGAAAATATCAACATGTATAATCTATTCAAAAGGAATATCATATAGATGATATTTAAGGCCATGAGGCTAGATAAAACCTAGGAAAAAAATTAGAGGCTAAAAACCTGTATAGGCTAAAGGACAGAGCTTTGGACTCTCCAACACTTAGAGGTTGGTAAAATGAGAAACATAAACTCTAAACTATAAAAAAAAAATTAAAAACTATTTAAACAAGTAAAAAATGTAGGAGAAAATCTAGAGGGGAATGATATCCTAGAAGCTAAATGAATAGCTTGTTTCAAGAAGAGAGAAAACAAGTACTTCAAATATGGCTGACACATCAAACAAGACAAGACTAAGAGATGACCATTCAATGTAACAAAGCATAGGTCTTTTGTGATTTTGTTGAAAACAATTTTAGAGGATGGTGGTCATTAAACCCTGATTATAGTGGATTCAAGACAGAATGGGGAAGGACAGGAATTTGGAGACTATGAGTTTAGAAACTATTTCAGGATGAATGTTTCTAAAAAGAAGGCAAGAAGTGGGTCATTGCTGAAAGGGTACTGAGAACAATAAAGCTTTTTGTTTGTAAGATTGCTTAAATAAAATGCTTACAAACAAACAAAAAGCTTACAAATAAAACTTTTTGTTTGTAAGATTGCTTAAATAAAATGAGAGAAATAATGATCATATACTTTGTGAAATGATCCAATATAGAAGGAATGTTTGATGATGCAACCAAAAGATTGGATAATTGCTAACACTCTCTTCTTTAGTTAGGTATGAATAGGCAACCAGATCTAGTACTCATCTGTAGGGACCGGCTTATCTAGGATTGGGGAAGCCCTATGCGCATACAGGGAAACCAAGTGTATCGTATGATCTTGATTGACATTGAGACCAGTCAGTTGGGTTGTGAGGTTTTCTCCACCAAGTTAGTTGTGCCAGTAAAGGTATACAGAAGGCAGAAAATTGAATATAACAATGATTTTTAATTTGCCTACTGACTTTAAAGAAAAAAGCAAAAGCAAGAGAGCAGCAAAGAAATTGAGAGTTGTTCCAAAAAAAAAAAGTGATTAAGAATGATTATAATGTTAATGATAGCATACTGCAGAGAATGCTAGGCAAAATGAACTTAATTTTAAGTTTCAGAAGAGACATCCTTAGCAAGAGACAGACTCTAACTTCATCTTTCATTATGGACAGTTGAAGAATAAAAACCAGATATTTAAGAAGGCATTTAAAGAGGTAGGTCAGGACAAAACAAGATTTGGAAAATAGAGACCAGACAAATCAAAAAACAAAAATATGAGGGTCTAGAGGTTTACTTTTTTTATAATACCTGTGGCAAGTTTGGAGTATCAAGAAAACCAAGCAAATCCAAACGTCTGTAAAATTGAAAAAATAAAGATTTAACAATGTGCTATGGGAGCAAAAGGCAAAATAAAATTACTTGTGGAGTGGAAGAATCATGGGGAAAAGTAGCTTGAGTTATATCTTAAAGAAAGTATAGAATGATAGCAACAGGCAAATAAAACATTCATTCTCTCTCTCTCTCTCTCTCTCTGTCTCCTCTTTCTCTTTTATTATCTGCCAAGCTAAACAGTTGGAGTACAAATTCAAAGATTTTATTGACAAAGAAAATAACGTAAATATAGAATTACTACCATAAATTAAAATATTCACTTTTGATATCCTACATTTACTTTCCATCATTGTCAGGTGAAAAACAAACTATAATAAATACATATTTCATGTTAAGAATATGCAATTTGACTTATAATTATTAAATGTACTCATTCTATCAGAATAGCTTGATTATGCCTTAAAAACAAACTCAACAATTTCAGTGGCTTAAAACAAACACATTTGTTTTTTCCTCAAGCAATGTCCACTGCAAGTCTAAGCAACTTTCCATGGGCAGCTGGGGGTTGTGTTTCCACATCAACAGTACTTCTGCTTTTATCACAGGAGAAGGAGAGCAGACTGGAGAACTGGATGCCAACTAAATGCTTCCAAATGTAAGTGATACACATTTCTGATTATATCATTACCCACTGGAGGTCAAATGCTTATGTTTAACTTCAAGAAGGTGAGGAAATACAAATATCTTGGGTTCTTTTAAACACAAGAAAACAGGATATTGGTGACTTGTAGATATGCCTGACTAAACATATGTTATGATGTTTCTTTTATTTCTGTCTTTTTATTATGATGGAGATTTATAATAATTCTCTAAATGTCTCAGCAAATTTATTTTGTCTAAATTAATGGCAATATAGTTCAAACATAGGAGCTATGTTTGTTTCTTGAATCTATTGTTAACTTTCTTGATAGAACAAAATACACAAGTCAGATATATCTGCACCCCTGTGTTCATGGCAGCACTATTCACAATATCCATGTTATGAATTCAACCTAAATGTTCATCAAGAAATGAATGGAAAAAAAAACCTCATATATATACACAATGGAATACTATTCAGCCTTAAAAAGAAATTCTGTCATTTGAAAAAATATTGATAAGTGAAATAAGACAAACACTGTATGTTTTGGCTTGCCTGTGGCATCTAAAGCTCATGAAAGCAGAGAGTAGAAAGGTGGTTACCAGAGGTTAGGAAGACAGGGATAATGGGAAGATGATAGCTGAAGGGTGAAAATTCTTAGGAGAAATGTTTGATATTTTTTTTCTTTTCTTTTGAGATCAATCCCACATCTTGGTGAATATACCTAATAATTGAGTGTTGAACATTTACATTTCACTGAGAATAAATTTCAAAAATTTGTATCACAAAATTATTAAACATTTGAGGTGAGGCATACGTCATTTATCTTGATTTAACGATTTCACAGTGTATAAAACAATTATAATACTGTTTTTAAATCTATAATTTGTCAATAAAAGTCATACTAACCAAGAAGATACATTTCAAAAATAGTTTAAAATGTGTGAGTTAACTTATTTGAATTCCACATATTCATGTTCTTCAGAAAACTAATCATAATGCATTCTTTTTTTTTTTTTTTTTTTTTTTTTTTGAGACGGAGTCTCGCTCTGCCGCCCAGGCTGGAGTGCAGTGGCGCTATCTCAGCTCACTGCAAGCTCCGCCTCCCGGGTTCACGCCATTCTCCTGCCTCAGCCTCCCGAGTAGCTGGGACTACAGGCGCCCGCCACCTCGCCCGGCTAGTTTTTTGTAGTTTTTAGTAGAGACGGGGTTTCACTGTGTTAGCCAGGATGGTCTCGATCTCCTGACCTCGTGATCCGCCCGTCTCGGCCTCCCAAAGTGCTGGGATTACAGGCTTGAGCCACCGCGCCCGGCCATGCATTCTTAATTTACCAAAAACTAAATACATATTTTGTGATTTGATGATATGATTTTCAATCTAGCAACAAAAACAATTTACATTCCACAGTGAGTGTAAATCCACAGTGAATGTAAATTCACTGTGGAATGTAAGAATTTGGAAACATTTATTTTTTTCTCTTAAGAGCTTTCTGCTCTCAATCTTTCTCAGCTATTATTAGTTTTTTATTGTCAAATTTGTTTAAAAAGTGACAGAAGCACTTTGGGAGGCCCAGGCGGATGGATCACAAGGTCAGGAGATCGAGACCATCCTGGCTAACACGGTGAAACCCGTCTCTACTAAAAATACAAAAAGTTAGCCAGGCAGTGTCGCGGGCACTTGTAGTCTCAGCTGCCCGTGAGGCTGAGGCAGGAGAAACACTTGAACCTGGGAGGCAGAGGCTGTAGTGAGCCAAGATCGCGCCACTGCACTCCAGCCTGGGCAACAGGGAGAGACTCCGCCTCAAACAAACAAACAAACAAACAAAAAAAACACACACACAGAAGTGACAGAGGCATGAGGTAAGAAGGAGCTATGGAATGCAATTATGCTTCTAGTTTTCCTCAGTGTTTCTGAAAGGGCTGATTTAAAAAAAAAAAAAAACAGCAACAACAAAAAGACATTTTCTTTGTTACAATAAGCACTAAGAAATGGTAAATTGTATTTTTTCACAGAAGTGCTTTAGTGTACATGTCGTTGGAATAAATCTGTGCAGATTAACTGAAACTTAAGAAGGATTTAAAATGTCCCTTTGTTGTCTAGCACAGTACCCGTGGGTGCTCCATAAGTGGTAGTTGATGATGATGGCACAGAGAGATTGAACATGGGTATTTAATAGCCTTTCATAGTGAAAGTGGATATGACTTTTAAAAATACTCATGTTAGCTACACTGAAAGTGTATGTATCCTCTTTATATTGTGAATAGCAAAGCTAGAAATCAGACTGTGTCTACGTAAGACTAATCATCCAGATATGAAGTGAAAGATGCCATCTTTTCTCCTGCCGTTTAAAGGAATCAGATATTCTAAATGCATTTAGGGGAAACTATACCATGCTGAGATAATTATCCATGTGTTTGCAACTCCTGTCTCTTACAGCTATCAGATTTTTAGTTGTTTGTTTTAGGATTCCATGCAATAAAGTAACAAAACTGCTATTAGTTCATGAGTGTTGGGTTTCACTTTTTTAGAATAAAGTTGACATTAAAAAAAAACAAGATCAAAGAAGATAAAAATGCACATAAGTGATGATGAATACTGTTCAATATATAGTTTTTGTTTCATTTCTGCATAAAATTCTTTACAGCTGTGGATATTGTAGAACTACCAAGGTTTACATGTTTATATGAAAGGAAAAATGGATTGTGTTTAGATGAGCAAAACATTGTAAAATGATCTGTGCAGGTGAGATTGGTTTTGGAAGCTGGTAGAAGAGACAATATACATTTCGCTGAGTGGTATATTAGCAGTCATTTTTTTCTTGACACATACTTAATTATAAAACTTATAATAAATGGAATACCTGAAAAAGAAGGGAAATATTCTTCTGATCATTAACTTTAATCATAATATTTGACATAAGAAATCACTAAAATTTTTAAGTCACTGAATATAAGAATGGTAAATTTTGCTAAATCTGGTTCACAACCTGTAATATTAAATTAATAGCACTAAATAATCATATCTAATATATAAATTTACAATGTTTACTTCAAAATCTCCTGAGCTCAATGTTGGGCATTTGAAAGGTATTATTGTGAGGTTCTTTAATAGTTCACGTGATCGATAATTATAAATTAAATTATGTTTTCCAGTCTCAATAGAGCGATTTTCCAAATGCTGGAGCAGGGTTGAGATGCTTTGTACAAAAATTCTGGCATCTTTCTGATCTGCCTCTGAAAAGAAGATAGTTGACCCTCTCTCTTTGTTTGTAGCTCACTGTTTTCACTAATGTTCACTTTCAGCTTTTATGAAGAGCTGACTAAGAACATGTATTGAAAAATGTCCATGTTGTAAAATGTCTCAGGTAGCTGTGTACCGCTCTGGGTGAACATTTGTTAGAGAAGCTGCTCTTTAAAAATTGTCAACTTGGAGTCAGCAAGTTTGTTTTCAGAAGAATCTTTGACAGGCAGCTTTCAGAACCTTCTAAATTGGACAAATAAATAAATAAGTGAAATAAAAATAAAAATTGAACTTTAGTGTCTAGACAGAAGTTACCACATCAGAAATACATTGGATTGCAGAGCTCAGAAGAGTTAAGAAAAATTTCAGAGTGAACAAGTATCTTCCTGAGAGGAAAGGGATTTACATGTTGAACATTTTAAACAGATTAAGAAACATACCAAAGGCCACCCAGGGAAAATTCACAGTGATTAAAACCTAATATTTACATGGCATTTCTATGTATAAGGCACTGTTCTAAATTCTTTCATAATAAACTAGTTTAATACTCCCATTGACACTATGAGGACTCTTAATATCCTAATTTTAGAGCTGAAGAAACTAAGCCAAACTAAACTAATCTCTCTAAGATTATGTAACTTCCACCAAATCACACAGCTATCAAGATAAAGACTCATCAGCATCAGCGGGTTTGCCCCCAGGGTTTTAGCTCTTAACCATTATATCACAGTTGAAATCTGAACTGATAACCTGGTCTCCACTTTAGGATCTAGATGGCTGTGGATATTATCTGGATATCTGTTTCTAGAATACTAGCATGTGAGTGCAGCTGGAAGTAATTCACTCTCTCCAACTCCCACAGCCCCACCTACTCATCCTGAAAGAGTGTACTTTAGAATAAATTTTATGTCATATTAAGTGTACAGTTGAAACATGAAAGACCCATCTGGGAGATATATCAGACAGAGAATATAAGTAGCCTTGGGAGATAATATTTTAACAAGGATAGTATCTATGGCTGTAAAAACAATAACAACAAAAAGAGTGTTAGTGGCTGGAAAATATATTATGGTTTTCTTCTATCAGAGATTTAGGAGCAGGACTTTGAAGTGAGTAAGCATCAGTATTCATAGACTATTTGGGGAAAAGAGAACTTCCGAAAAGAGATGAGTACTTATTTTAATTTAAAAATAATTCCATAAATCCAACTTTCTGTGGAATCAACACATTTTGATAAATATTTCAATAATTTAGTAATTATGTCATCTATTCCTTTCTTGGAAAATAGATGAAACTGTTTTTTTCCCCTAATGTGTTTGAGTTTTCTTTTTCTTTTCTTTTTTTAATTAATAATGGATTCAGGGGGTACATGTGCAGGTTTGTCACATGGGTGTATTGCATAATGCTGGTATTTGAGTTTCTAGTGAATCCATAAGCCAAATAGTGGACATAGAATACAATAGGTAGTTTTTTCAACCCTTGCCTTTCTTCTTCTCTTCCCCATTTAGGGGTACCCAGTATCTATTGTTTCCATCTTTATGCTCATGTATACCCATTTTTTAACTCACAAGTGAGAACCTGCAGTATTTGACTTAGTGTTTCTGCATTAATTTGCTTAAAATTATGTTTTCCAGCTGCACCCATGTTGCTGTGAAGGATATGTGAAGGATATTCCATTATTTTATGGCCGTGTAGCATTCCATAACATGGCTGTGGCACATGGTGTGTATGTACCACATTTTAAAAATTGTTGACACACTCTCAGGGTTTGAAT